TTCCCTAATAGCAACCTTGTTCAGTCTTTCTCACTGTTCCCTGCTTTCCACGAGAGAACAAATGAGATCTGGGTGCCTTTATCACACAGACTTATGACCCTGCCCATCCTCCCCAACATATTAAAAAACTGTATTGATTACTATCAATTATATTTTTAGCCTCCAATTTCTTTGTTGATGGAGTTGTAGTGGTAATACAAATAAAATTCAATAAAGTATATACCTTATTTTGGCAGATCTGATGGACTGATCTAGTATGAACTTCTGGTATCACTGCTGTGCTGCAGCCTGCATTGAGGTCAAAAACTTCCAATGCTCGGTTGCTGCCAGCTGTAAGTACAATATCTGTACAGTTCTCTGTGTTAAAGCATATAGATAAACAAAATGACAGATAAATAGATATCAAGACTCTGTTGCATTTAGTGCTCTCTGAGCAGCACCAAAAATCTTACAGTCCTAAAAAATTTATGTCTAAGGCTGAAGTTCAGTATCATGAAAAAAATACATCATTTTTACACTAATAGAAAAAGAGTAATAAAGAATCAAATGCTAATTACTTTAACTGAAGTGATTTCCACATCATGAAGTCTGAAGAACTATCAAGAAAATAAGAAATACAAAGGATACAAGAGTAGAAATCATTGACTGCTGAGAGGCTGGTAATCTCCATTGTTGAAGCCATGGGAAATTTCTGTACCAATTTGCAAACACTTCTCTGTTTGTATCTGCAAAAAACATCAAATGAATGCTAGTGTTAATGAAATAAATTATGCTTTGGGGCCACCAGTAAACTCCCACTGGAATCACAAAGCAAACCAAAATGCTTTCTTTCATTATTAAAAATTTAAGCCACAGACCTTTTGACTCGTTGCTGAACTCTGTTAAAAAACTTGGTAACAAAACTGATTTGAATGAACAGAAACATGATATTCGTACACCTAAGATAGATCTTCCATCAGCATGAAATACTAAAATAATCCTGTATGTATACTGAAAATGTTGAAGAGAAAAAAAGTCAAGTACCTATGATCAAAACCGAGAAATACCACTAGCTTCAGTATAGCATTTCATGTGCTGATTATAGGGGCAATAAGAAAGAAAATGAGGAGAAAATAGTGAGGAAAGAATCATGTCCACTTAGATGGGAACAGAACAAGGGACGGATCACACACTAGCAAAGAAATTTTGCTTCCCAGCATACAGTGGACTCCTCAAGGTCCTCTGGGATAGCTGCAAGCTCCATGCAGACGTTGCAGATCTACCAAGCCCTCTAAAATGGCTTCAGACTTATTTATATCACACAGTGCAGAACTGTGTTGGCATTCAGTCTGATCAGATCTTTCTGTTTACTGAAATATATCAGCCCAGACAGCATGGATCCGATCTTAAATCCACCAAAAATCAACAGAAAACATTCCTTAGTAGATATGGATATGTTGGGCAAGAAGAACGTGATCTCCATAGAAGTCACCTAAGGAATATAAACAGAGTTCTTAATAACTGAACTGGGTCTGGTTGGGGTGGAGTTAATTTTTTCATAGTAGCTTGTATGGCACTGTTTTACATTTGTGACCAAAATAGTGTTGATAACACACCAGGGTTTTAGCTGTTGTTGAACAATGTCTGCACAGCATGAAGATATTCTGTGTTTCTCCCTGTGCCCCCAGAGTGAGTAGGCTGGGGGAGCACAAGGGGTCAGATGTGAACATAAACACAGCCATTACCTGAATTATCCAAAGAAATAGTCCATAATGTATAATGCCAAGCTCAGCAATAAAACTTGGGGCGGGAAGAGGGGGAGGAGAAGGAGCTTTTTGAAAGTAGCTATTGCCTGGAGACTGGCTGGGGATTGGTTTGCTGGTGGGAGCTACTGAACAATTACTTTTGCTTCACTTGGTTGTTTTTTTTTTTTTTTCTTCTTTCTTCACTTGCTAAACAGTCTTTATCTCATCCCATGAGTTTTCCTCACCTTTGCCCTTCCAACTCTCAGACCCATCCCACAGGGGGATCACACCACTGGGGGAGAGTGAGTGAGCAACTGGGTGGGGTCTTAGCTGCCAGTGAAGGTCAACACACTGCAATAACTCAAAATTTCTAGATTATATTCTAAATGCAGACGCTTCTACACAGTAAAATAATTCCAATATAACTGTAATTATTATACTTCCATTTTAGCATGTCTGTCTAAAGACAATACAAAAGTCCATGTGTGACACACTTGTAGGAATAATTACTGTGTCTTTCCAACAATGATAAAAGTTTGAAAAACTGAGATAATTTGACAAAAGCAATATGTTATCAGCTGGATCAGTTCAGAAGAGAATGGTTAATGATTTGCTTTTTCTTTTCTTTGTCACTCTCCAACAACGATTTGGTGAGCTTTTCCAGGTAGACAGTAGAGCTACTTCAGCAGCAATGGTGAAACAGAAGGTAAAATACAGTGGTATGCAACTTAATCCAAGAACATTTTGTGGTTTCCAGAAGTATTTTATTCTAGTAAACTACAAATATAAACTTCTCTAGGCTCCAGGAACAAATGATTTATCTCAATTTGGGGGTAAAAATATCCAAGTTAACATTAAATAAGTTGACTGAGATAATAGGAACAATCTAATGAAGGCAGCGTAAAGCTTCCTCTGGTCTAATTTACCCTGCTGAAAGAGGCTTACTGAAACGGATTACTCGCAAATGTAAGAACAATTGTTCTGAGTTAGTTGAAGTATCCCTCTTGTACAGTGCATTCTGCTACATAGATAAACACCTCACAGGGTGTTTCCCAGGTAGAGTTTCACCTAGAAAGCAAACAGTAAACTGAGATTCATCAAATACAAGTTAGGACAAAACTAAGCCAAAATAACAGAAGGGGGAAAAAAAAATTGAAGAGTACCCATTAGCAAAAAAATAGCTTAAAGTTTATATAATAATTTGGGGGGGGGGGTGTTACTGCTTTAATAATACCTCCATAAACTAAGAATTAACAGGCAACACAGAAGGTAGATAATCAGATTGTGGAAGAAAGGTATTACATAATTCAAACAGACATAAGACAAAAAATTAAATGCCACTGACTTGTAATATATAAGAACAGAATTTAAGAATAAATACGTGTTGAGACGTAAACAAAAGTGCACAATCTAAATTTGAAAGTTAAATAATTTCTTGTATGCTATAGAACAGATTGTTATATATCTTACAAAGAGTTTGTTGAGGAATTAATCAGAGGAATTAATCCAGTAAAGGTCAGAAGGTGTTGTAATAAAATAAAATATAGAAGCAGTTCTAAGATACAAACACTTCCTGCAATGATTTCAGAGACTTATATGTCTACATTAGAGCATATTTAAAGTCCTTTGTTGAAAGCATTTATTGTGAGACCCAGATAAAGAAGAAACATTTTGATGACAGACAAAAAACTTCAATGTATGGAAGTATGTTACTATGCTAAAACCAGAAGATGAATAGGCACCTAAAGAAACCTCTCCAAACCCCCCCAAAACAGCTTGATGCTTGATTTTAAGGAAAATGGCTGCACATGACAAAGCCAAAACTACGTGACAGACCACAAATATCATCAGTATAACAGATCATAAGGTTTCAGGATATTAAAAACATTTTTATAGGCACTGTAAAATTTAATCTTCAAACGGTAGTCCCATTATACATCTCCAGACACACCCTTGAGTTCAGTAAAATAAGAAAATCAGTTACATGAAATGGAAAAGAATCAGTTAATCTTCTGGAATGCTTAGAATCCATCATAACTGAAAAAGTCTCTCTTACACTACAGAGGAGGGTGAATGACATTCACTGACCCTATGTAATGAATCTTAGACGTAAGATAAGCAGGGGAAAATCTAAAGCATTTAGAGATGGTTGCTGCTAGAATGTTGTTAGAATTCATCATATGACTTATGTACTTCTCATCTAGTTTCCATTCTATTTCAGACAAAAACCAGAGTGTTTAAGTTCTTTGATCTAACAGCTAAAGCTCAAAGGAAGCAAGCTTAGAATATTCTTATTATCATACTGCTGAATCAGGCCTGTTCAGCCCATTTACTGAAGAAGTTTGAACTGGATTAAAGTGGTTTGGATGAAAATAATTATCCTGCTAAACATTAACTCTCCAGAAGTACCGGAAATGAACACTCTCCTTTGTGTCATTAGCATGATAAATTTTAAACCCACTTACCATGGCCTTTGCTTTATAATATGTGCTGGTAGAGTTTCTCATTTCATCAGAGCAGATATTTTATTATTAATTCACTTATTGTATGTATGAATACTACAACCAGTTGCTAAACATAATGGTTTTAAAAGGCATTGTTTCTGTTACTGGAACAAAATTTTCTCCTTTTTAAACTCCTTTAAAATTGCTAATGCATGATAAAACTATAAAAATGAGATAATAACCCATAGATGTTTTGTTCTGCTCAAATTCATTTGTGACTTTAAAGTAATTAAGAATTTAAAAAAAAAAAAAAACTGAGAAGCAAATAGTTACACTTCATATCAGCATGCACAACTGCTGATGAGAGCAGAAATTCAATAGTTAGTAATTTTGGAAAAGGTAAAGAAATTTGTTTGGATTGTGAATCATTTTGAGATTAATCATAGAAGCAGAAGTCAGGAGATCTGTATTCTGTTCTCAGAACTGCGATAAATCTCCTCTATGACATTTGTAAGTAAGGATATATTTAAATAAGCCAAAAAGGACTGTAATATTCTTTTTCTTATTTCCACATCTCAATTTCACCTTTACAACTGAACCAATATTTGACCATTTAATTAAGTTACTGTGATGCTTAGTTAATTAATATTTATGGAGAGTTCTTTGAAAACTCTGCACAGAGAAACAGTGATATGATTTGACATTATACTGTCTTCACCTCTGAAATACAGTAGAAATCTATTGGTTAGCCAGACTTCATTGCCATGTCCTTCTAATTAAGGGTATAAAGCATGATCTGGAGTTAGATCTAGCATCTTCTTGAATCAGTTCCATTCAAGCATTCTTTCAAATTTGACTCAGAAGGCACGATGACAGAGTTGTGAGAAACAAAAAGAATGATGTAGTGTTCCATAAAAGAAAGAAATGCCGGGAAATTAACTATAGGGAATTCACAAGAAAACGTCAAAACAAATTAACCTCTAATACCTTTTTGATAGATATATATAAACAGACCTCAGACTGGTTTGTGGATTCATTGTAATGTCTATGATTGTGTGGTTGGTCTTTGGCATTACATTAATATCCCAGAGAGTCTAACTGCATATTTCTGAGTTAGTGTTAATGCATCAGGAAATACTGGCAGCATGGTAGTAACAAAATTGTGCTATAAGCACAACCCTACATACATACTTTAAAAGCTTTAAACCAGGATATTATATGCTTCTAACAAAGCAATTGGAGCAACACAGAACACAGGTGAAGTTCAGTGCCCAAGTCCTTGCAAAACCGCTTGAGTGGGCTCTACAATTACATTACGTTCCACAGTACCTTTAGTTTCTGAACTAACTAGCTTGAAGGTAGTTCAGACCAGTGTTCCATAACAGTATGGATTTTCTTCAGGTTACTGGATACTTTCCCCTAGGAGGCATGTGTATTTGTTAAAAAAAAAAAAAAAAAAAAAAAGAGATATCTAGAGCCAGCACATTATATACTACAATAAAGGTTGCTTATTAAAGCCTAAGCCCCCACAAATAGAATGAAAAAAATATGTTTAACTATATCTTAAAACTGAAAGTAATCAGAGGACGGAAGGATCTAAAAGATCAGAATATTGTTTTCAGTCTTCTTTTTCTAAGTCCCTCCATGATCGCCTATGTAAATTTTAAGAGTCAAGAATGGTATGAGAGAAGAAGTTGCCTGCCTCAGTTTGCAAATATTACTTGTTCATGCTATGAATAGATTTCAAGCAAAACTGAGAACAGGAATCACTTTTCCTGCCTTCCAGGTTCCTCCTGTACTATTATGCTTTGCTGTAGGCTAAGCACTTCAGAATATGAGATCTCTGTAGACCCAGTTATGAGAAAAGAAATTCGAGGGGGGAAAAAAAAAAATCTTTTCAAAAGAAATTGTGTCTATGTTTCAGTACTTCCTTTTCATTTTATTCTATTAGTTTTACCCTCCTAAAATAATGTATATACTATAAAATCAAAGCAAGAAATTCTGTATTCCTTTGTATTTAGTTTTCCAGTCTATTTGATATATACCCATTCCATATAGAGTATATGACTAAAATAATACGAATAAGAGCCACAGCAACACCCTCTATTAAGGATTTTGACCAGAAATGGCAGGTCAAGAATCACAAGTGACAGTGGATTAACTGTAAAACCAAGCAGGTGACTGAAAACCACAATTAATTAACCATATTAAAGAATTTATAAACAGAACTTAGAGCATAATACATTAGCTACTTTTCCAAATAAGAAGGAATTTCTGTTCTTTAAAAAGAGTATTTTAAAAGACTGATATAATTTGACATTTTTTTCTCCTTTTGTTTCCTCTATGACTGTTTAAAGTTTCAGTGAAGTTCCACCTACCAGGTTCATGCCTCAATCCAGGAAAGCACTCCTGTTCAAAAACATACTTAAGCCTGTGCTTCGTATGTTTTTCTGTGCAGTGGCAAAAATACCAGAGAAGCAGGCCAGGTTTTCCCATCTAAGGATGCAGCCCAATAGTATTTAATATCATAAATGGACAGGACACACTATTCACATTATCAACCAATAGGCTTCAGTGTTGTAACCTTAATTCTGTTTTTCCTTCCACTCAAAATATAAAGTCATAATAACAGACAAAGAAAAATATATCTTCATGGGTTTTTTAAATGCTGTTATGTCTAACACATACATATATACAAGCGCATATATATATATATATATGTTGTAATAAAGTCTTATATACACAAATACTGCTGAAAATCAGCAAAAGAAAATGAAGAGCAGAGAAGCTTAGTTAAGGATACAAGGACATTTTTAGCTCCAGTTATAAACTAAAGGAACAGAAAAGGTATATCAGACATTTAATAAAATAATTGATTCCAAGTGAGAAAGAAGAATGGCTAACAATGAATTAACACAGGAACAAAAGAGGATAACAAGAAAAGTAATTAGATAGAATATAACAGTTGGGAAGTCAGTGAAAATTATGAAAGTGATTTACTTCCATTTGACAGAGAAGGGAGAAAACAGTCACAGCACGTTGAAGTCTCTGAAAGAAAAAGTATATAGAAATATTCCCACAAGAGAAAGATTTAAGATAGCTTTCCAAATGTAACTTAAGACATTAGTGCACACTAAGATGTAAACAGGCAGAAGGTAAAGCTCAGAAGGTCTCAAATGGTAACAGTAATAGTAAAACTGTATTTGCAGCAGATAAGGTATGCTCTATATAAATTTTTTTTGACATTTCATTTTTTTTATATTATACCAGAACAAAGATTTTTTTTTCAGTTAGCTTTTACTATTTGTTCAATTTTTTACTTCTGTAATATTCTTGCCCCCCATCACACCTCACCAACCCAAAAAATCCCAGATCAAACAGTACAAGTCCTTTCACCAGTCTGTTAAAAAGACATTTAACTCACCGTTTGAGGTCATCCTTGGTTGTGTCTAGGTGGAAACTTAATAGATGAAATTCAGCTCCACAACACAGTAATATAAATGCATCTATAAAATAAAACTGTGCAAAGCGTACATTCTTATGGAACTTCTCTTTGCCCTGAAACGCAAAGTAAACTATTAAGAATGGATTCTAAGATATGAAATATTTTTTGTCCGAGATTCCTGGTGTTAAGGCATAGCCTCCCTGTTATCCTGACCGTATGCCAGGAGGTTAACCTACTAGGTAGTGGCCCTTCCTATTTTTGACATCTATTAATCTCAAAATAAAGTTTTCAATCTATTTAAATTAGTTGGCAGTAAAGTTAATACTATCTGTAGTCAACTGAATCTAATACAATCTAGCTTCATACTCTATACTTCCATTTGAATTGGGGAGTAGACTATAAAGTCAAGCAGAGCTGAGACAATGAAAATAGAATATACAGAGCAGACAATAAAACCAAAACTTCCAAACATGCCCACTAGTTTTGTCTACCACGGTTGTTTTCTTCTTTTCATAAATTGTCATGATAAAAGCCTAATTTGAAGGCAACAAAGACCACCCAGATCATAGTATCAGTTTGAATCACTACCACTCAGTAGCTCTGAATATCAGATTGCATGTTCCTTCTATCAAGCTGTTAAAATGACAATAGTTGAAAGTGCAAAACTGGGTCCTCTGAACCAAACTGACAGGAGGTTCTAATTACCAGAATTAGGGCAGGTTCATTATTGCAGACTGACCAGACCCTTAAAGTTCTGTCTTCTGATGCAGAAACTAACCACTTCTTGTCGTGACTCCAGCCAAGAGAGTTAATTGCACCATCATGACCTAATAAAAATAATGATGGAAATATCATAAAGCTCATTTCTTGCATTTATACATTTCTCCAGAGTTAAGCGTATTGTTTTAATGTAATTATACACAATATTAAAATACATTTTAAATACAGGCTTCAAATGGCTGGATTGAAACTGGTAACAGTAAACCAGTTATTGATTTTTTCTTCCACCAAAAGACATGGAAAAATGTCTCTCATTAATAATCATAATTCACAAAATTAAATAAGGCCAGTGAAATACCAAGTTATTCTACCTGAAATCTCATATGCATTTGTATCACACTGCCTCCATTGCTAAATTGTTATAATAAATATTAAACACATATTAACAAACATTAAAGACACATTTATCTTTTATGGACATTCACATACTAAAAAAATAAGAAATAGTATCTACATTTTCTTCAGCTTTCTGCAATTCAGATTTGACTCAGCTAGAACTATAAAATAGTTCTAAACAAATATATAACAAACTTCCTTCAAGTTAGCAACAAAACAACCATATTCACAGATCTTTACTCTGACAGAAATATTAACGAATTCTATCTCCACACCAAACTGAATTAGAACCACAGATTTGGTTATAAGGTTGTTGTCATTAATAGTGAGTCTTGCTGCTAACAGTTGTACTTCTGATCTTTTTCATTAAATACTGACTGTCTCAGAGTGAAGTGCTGAATTGGATTAAAATTATTCCAAACTGTGGCAAAAAACTCCACAGCAAATAGAAGTTTGACCATCAGTTGCTGATACTTCTATTCAAGTTTCTAAGGTCTGGAAAAGCTATTTTCTTATGCACAGAGGTCCAAACATCAGTCTGAAAAAGACTACCCAAAGAGGGATATTCAGGGAATAATTGCATCTGACTTCAGAGAGTGAAGAAAACAACCATCATTGACAACATGGCTACCAAATACTTCAAACTGCAACTGTGATGGTTAAGGTCCAGAGCCCTATGACTTGCTACTATACCCAAACGGAAAAATAGAATGGTCGTCATGCAAGACCACAGCGCTCTGCATCTGCTTGTTAGCCAGTATTTGGCTCATTAAGAGGCCCAAAACCTGGCATGTAGACCATGGTGTTATTTTGCTCTGACTAATAAGCTGTCCGGAGTGTTGCATCCTAGATTGCTTCATTTCTGCCCTAACAACAGAAGGTTGGATGTCCAGAAAAATTGAAGTTTCCACACTGGAGCTTGTAAAAACTGGTTTATTTTTTGTTATGGGCCTGCAAGAAATGTACTGGTGTGGAAAGGTTCAGCCCAAAGAAAAATCTGGAATCCCAGGATGGTTACTCTACCACTGAAGGCTTCAAGATCTGAATCAGGCTTCATATGAACTCCATTTTGAATTTAAGTGTTTAGAAACTGATTTTACAGAGCTGCAAAGTGCCATATATTCCAGAAGACAATGTAATTGATGGGATGATGCTTTAAAAGGAAGGAAGGTAAGGCTACTGAAATCCAGAAGGATTTTACCACATACAGCAGTAAAGGAACTCACCCCAGCTATGGCAAATAATTGCTTATTGTAGAAGTTTCAGCAACAGAACACCTGATGCTGACTTTGACAAAGTTCAGTATTTTAAAATACAAAGTATAAGCAGTTACAAAAGAATCACCAATCTAATTTATCTAAAGATAAAGATAATTCTGATTCTAATTTTCAAAAAGCGTCCTTGAAATTCAATTTAATAAAAGATATAGTACTACTCAAAAAGAGAATCTGAGTACTGTATTATAATGAGATTTTAAACGTGACCTGAAAACTGCTTAAGACCTTTCAAATAGTTGCAATACTTTATTTTATTCATTAGGCTTCTATTACTGAGCTAGCTGTTTTTGTAAAAACACAATGAACATGGAACTACAACAGCTTCTGCAGGACAGTCTAATTAGATTAAAAAAAAAATGTAACTGCCTGTTTAAAAATTGTAAAGTATTATAACTTCCAGTTAATAGCAAAAAGCTTCTGCAAGAAACAGATTTTCCATTTTGGTGTCACATAGTTAAAAACAAGATTAGAAACTTACAGAGAAATAACTTCAAAACCCAGAAACATAATCCAGAATCTAAAATTATTAATTTGATCTAAAATTATATTGAAGTTGATCAAAAAAGTCAAAAAAAGAAAAAAATGTCAAACAAAATTAACAAACTTTGGACCATGTTATTCTAATTTTTCCAGATGAAGTCTGATGAATTTCACCTGGCCTTAAAACATTCAAAGTTCTTATGCTGCCCTCTTGTGCACATTTTCTTTTTAGTCAACTGAAGTTTTATATATAAAAAAATATTGCCTTAAATTGCAGGAAGGCTAATCAATTTGTCTCAGCAATTAAAATCTTCTATGCTAGCATATATCTATAAAAAGGTGTATAAACAAGATATTTTAGTTCCCAGTTTCCAAAAACTTGTAGAATTTTCACCGAAAAACTGCATAGGCCCATATGTAAGTACTATACTTATTTTATTCTCAACACAAAGATTTGGGGGCTTTGGTTTTGTAAAAGTATTTGGAAGCCTTGAATTATCTGCATTAAAGAAAAAAACGAAAACAACTTACCAGAATATACAAAACAGTTTTCCAAAGTGGTATGGAACATGAGAAACTTTAGGAAAATCTGAGGTCTGGAAAATTGGAAGAGCCAGGCAAAAAGCTTAAGAATCTCTGCACTCTAGGTCCCCCAGTCCCAAAGCCTAGTGAAGGAGGTTCCAGCTGGCTTGCAAGAGGCCACTAAGCTTCAAAACAGGCGTTACTCAGGGGTCCCCAGTCCTGAGGCATGTTAAGGACAGCAGCTGGTTTTGAAAAAGACTTCTTCAAAAACGCCATGGGGGCTCTTTTAAAGCTGGTTGATATTACTTGCACTTCACTATAGGACAGAGACACCTGAAGAGCCAACACTGGAGAAGAAAGCAGAACTACTTAAAGCTGTAACTGAGCACTTCAGGGAGCAAAACTGAATAAACTAGCAAAATTGCTGTTGGTATACCACTCCTCCCTGATGGTGCATTATAAAAATGTTTTTTGATAATCAGCTATATTCAGATGTTAATGCTGCCTTGAAAATGAATTTTTTTTAACAGAAAAGGTATCTTTGCCATTTCTTGAAAAAGGAAAATTTTACGTTACCATTGATTGCAGCTCTGAATAAGAGCAATGCATCATGGTTTTTAATGAAAAGAAAATGTATTTATTATGACATTTCAAAACCAAAGGCATCTAAGGTAGAAAATAAATAGGTGATTTCATAATAAACTGAACTGTATGGAAGAACTACATGAAGGAAATAAGCATGTAACTGATGGTTTGTGGTTCCTACTCCCCTACAGTTTCACATTTATGTTGCTTTTGAGAAGAACTACATGCATAGGTTGCATTTTTATGCCACCTAAAGAGCCTGAAGTAGAATGTGGTTTACAATTCTTTTCAGACTATGAATCATAAAAAAAAGACATAGAATAAAGAATGAAGGGTATCAATTAAATAAATCAGATAGTAGTGCAAAACCTAAGAAAACTGATAGAACAAAGTCAATTATTAGAAGAACAATTTAGTAATAAATAATTTTATTTTTTTTTAAAGCAAGACAAAGAAAAGTACTTGACACCTTAACTACTGTCACCAGAAAAAGCTTCTCTGTAGTAGCATGAAGTTTGGTGCAGGTTACTTTACCCTTCTCATCTCAATAAATTAGCCTACATTTGCGGAGTGTTGCAGTATTTTAGGGAGCTCTGAATATCAAAATATATTATAAAATCATATTTAATTATACTTCATAGAAAGACAAATATTTTCATTAATAATGTGTCAAAACCTAAGTACTGTTTCTTTCATGATTTACAGAGTAACCTGAACTAAGATTTTCTTTTAAATTTAGAAACCTCTAAATCCTAACCTTTTTTTACCTGCTTTCAAATATGTCTACTTAGATGAATATTTTTTCTTATTAAACTGTCTGTTTTCTGTTATTGCCATTATCAAGCCATTCCTTAGATATTTAGTATATAGCAAGTATATGGAGGTATGGATGCAACAAAGTCATTGAAATTAGTATCTTCCCCCGAGATGAAAAAAAGATAAAACCCAGCTATTACCAGTCTAAAAATCAATGAAGCCTGCATAAAAACAAACTCCAGTGAAAAAAAAATCCAAAAAAAAAGTATTTCACAAAATGGAAATATCACTTTCTGGAGCACATAATCTGTACATACATTCGAGTAAAACCAGCCTGTCTAACTTTTAATTGTGGTTCACATGAAGAGAAGCTGGATCTGTGATGCAAAAGAAAAACTGCAAAGAACGGCTACATAAGACATACTGTACAATTATAATAGCCTTGTGGAATAATTTTGCAACATTTGTCTTCTACTTCATGTTCAGAGTAGCCCTGCTACCAAAGAAACACTGAATTCTTTGGGCACAACTTTTTTAAGCTGCTGTGTACCAAATACTGTAGCAGTACTCTCTCATTATTTTTATAGATGCTTATAATAAGTAAGGGAAGGAAATACAGAGTTTTGGTCTCTTTTGGTTAATTGCATTTAGAAGTCCTGATCTTCTAAAACAATGTTAAATATATTTCAGATATATGGGATCCCTTTGGACAAAATTACTGCTTTTGTTCCAATACTACCCAAATAACAAAATTATGTCAATAAAACCTCAAAACACTATTCCAGCCTGCGGTTTATGTGACTTGCACTATGAATCTGCTGAAATTAGTCAGCAATACATGAGAAAAACATCTTTTAGAGTTCATGAACTTTCTGTTGTGGAAAAAGAGGACCTAACTACCCTGTCCATAAGGCATATTTTCATCAATTTCCTCATGCAAAAGGGAAAATATCAGTAATGTTACCTCCATTAGTGGCCACAATGCCATAGCTTCTTCCACAAAATACATTGAAAATTACTCAAAAAAAACCCCCAGTTCTCAGAGCTTTACTTAGAAATAATTTTCTAAAATAACTTAAAATAGTCTACTTTTATACTTGTTAAGTCCTGCTAGTAAATCACAGTCACCTTCCATTATGAACCTCCACAGTACATCAGTCCTCCTATATGAATTTTCAGTCATAACATTTACTGTTATTAAAACTTTAACAGATCTATTTTGTAGAAATTTACAATGTTAATTAATGCACCTGTGTTTGCACATGCATATACTTTTGCAGATATGGATTTCTCCATAGGAATAGTCTCTTTTTTTTCAAAGAGTTGTTCTTTAGAAGCCTGGGGCTGCAAAATCAAACACATTTTTTGCCAAGTCATCACAGTCAATTTTTGGATAATAATCTATTACTATATATTACTGCAATACACACATGCATTATCACTACAATATACTGGCTTTATTGTTTCTATTTAACTACTGTAATAAACATACACAATGTAGATTACAATATCATGATAAATTACTATTTACCTCCCAGAAAATTGAGTAATAGGAAAACCTGGTAGGCAACTTAATTCTAGAACAAAATTAACCAATTAGAGAAATAACTTCTACACCTTGAATCTGCAGTATCCCCTCTCCCCCATACTTCTCAAGGTGATGTAAATGGAATTTTTTAATTACTATGCAATATTATGTTAAACTCATTATTTCTTTAATAATATAATTTATAAATTTACCTGAAAAAACATTATATGTATCAGTGAGATTGGAATTGAATACCAGTACAGTCTTGTCAGCCAGGCCACAAGCCAGCATCTCTCCATCCCCTGTAAAGAAGAGTGTCTAATGATTTATATTTGAAAGCAACAAGGACCTAATATGCTGTTTCTTTTAATCATAAAAATCATGTATGTCGCTACAACAAAACACACATCAGGTATTAATTTCATATATTTAACATATTTTGCATGAACATCACAAAGTCATATTGCAGAATTTGGTAGGAATTTGTGAACGATTAATTCTTGTCCTGACATATTCTCAAAACAGTTGTTCATCGTAAGGCAGAAATTCACTTTTCACAGAAAAGGTGCTACACAATTTAAGTGCAGAAATGTTTAGAAGTCATTTATATCAGCTTCTTTACACTCATTTTTTTGTATCTTCTTATTAAAGCTACACAACCTTTTCTTATATATTAGAATAAAAAGCACATACTAATCATTCTGGATCATTTCTTAAAGATTATAAACTTCCTTCATAAGGTAATCCTAAAAACTATCTAAGTGCAGTCAGGTTGTTAATTTGTATTGGTAATCAGCAGGGGCACACAATGACTGCATAGACTCCCTTAATATCTACCTAATGGCAGCGATTTGTGAAATTTAACTGTTTGCTCAAAAACTTTTCCTGAAAAAAATGAAATCATAAAGAGCAGACAAATGGGAAAAAATAAGGGAGGATGGAGAAAGAGATCACAGTGAGAGAAAGTAAGGAAATTAAGTGCAGAATTCAAATCAACACTACTAGGTTCACTGTGAAAAGTGCTTTTAAAAGAGGTACCACCAGAACAACCCCTTCATAAAGCTCCTGAGCACCTTTACAAAGGGAGAAGGAATATAAATCATGCTTGACTTCACCAACAATACCCACTGCTATCCACTGTTCAAGTACCATCCATATTGCAGGTTCAGAATGCTACACTCTACAACACATTTTCTTCCTAGATTAATCATGGCAATAGGAACAGATAAGAGATCCGTATTTCTAATCTCTGAGAGTCATCTACTAAAAGTGAATTTTAAATGGGACAAACAATGGGGTAGATGTATATGTTAAGAAGAGGTACTCCAGAATCATTTTTCTGTTATCAGTTATTAAATGCATCAGTATACTAAACTGGCAAAGAACTACTTTATAAAAATATTTTTTACTTTATCTGACAAGCAATATTTCAGCTGACTTTTTCTCCAAATCCTAGTAATTGCACATACTAAAGAATTATTTTCATCCCAAAGAAAGATTTTCATCACAAAAATAATATAAGTAGTCCTGGATAAAATATTCCAGAAAATGCATACCCAAAGGTATCAAAGTCTTTGAGCTCTTCTACAGGTTTCTTCTCCCTTTCCTAAAGTTCTGACAGTATGCATTTTCAGCATGCAAGATGATTGGTAAGTATATCAGGTAAGTGATATACGGTAAGTCACACACACATAATTAATAATACTTAAACCTTCTTGTGCATACAGAATGGGAGAAATAATTTTGCATAGAATTTTGGAGGCTTATTTAATGGAACATAATCTCAAATCCTGAAAAAAACTGTTTTCTAACAGAGTAAAAAGTCATAACTCGTAATACCTCCAATACTACAAAAAAGATGTTTAATAAATCTAAGAATGTTTGCATTAACTCATTAATGCAACTTTACAACCTCTTAAGTTTACTTAAGTTTTCTATTTAATTTTCTTTCTACTATGTACATTTAATGTAAGTTAACTGTACATAAGTCTACTATGTAGATGCACATAAGTATTAATTATTGTGATTCATACTTTATAAAGACCACTTGAAAGATTGTTACAAGCTGCAATTCCAAGTTACAAATTTGCAACAGAAAATACATTGTAAAACTGGGAACCATCTGGTCAACATAGACTACAACAATAACAGAACACCTCTTTACTAGTAATATCATTTTTTTTACTCCAAGAAAAAAAAAAACAAACCTCTGTAGTTTTTGTTAAACCTTGTTTTGCTAAAGTATGGTTGTTTAAGCTTGCGTGCATGTGTGTGTGAGAGAGAGACAGAGAGAAACAGAGAAAGATGTTCCTTCCTCAAAATAAAAGAGGTTTTATACTTAAAATGCATTATCAAAACTACAGTGATGCTTTTCTTTGCTAAAAAACAACCTTTGCTTTTAAGTTCACATAACATTCCAAGAAACAAGCTCTCTGCAACTGGTTTCTTTCAGGAGCCATAAAAATAATTCCTTCCCACTCTCTAGGGAACACTTATGGCTGGAATATGTTTTAGAAAAGTTTCTGATTGCATCTAATTGGTTTTATTTATTGAAGATGAAAGTTGCTCTTGTCCCAAAATATTTATAAAGATATACATTTTAAAATAGTTTAAAAATATTGTGGTTTGCAGAGTGTACATTGAGATAATTATATACTTGGTAATACATTTGTTTGCTAATCTAAGAAGCAGTTTCTGTATAATAATATTTATATGGATTGGAAATTACTAGAAGACTCACTTCTCCAAAGCAGTTAAGAAAACTATCCTTCTTTGGATTATATGCAAGTATTCTTTCTTTATATTTTAACATATAAAAACTGAATAATCTTACATAAGATTTAGGAGTATTCAGATTCTTTTGAAACAGAACCTCAACTTTTAATATACCCTAATGACATTAAGTAAATGTCTCAGAAAATAAATTCCTTAGTGAAAGAAATTGTTAGACTAGTAATTTTCAAGTTGTAGTGGGAAAGTCATAGACTAAGCACAAAAGGAAACAAGATGTAAAATCAGAGAAGAATTAGAAACCTTTTTCACGTGTTAGCAGCTTGCATGGGTTTGCAAGTTAAAAAATTATGACCTAAGAGTACATGGTATTGCCAGAACTTTTCTGGGAATTTACCTAGTAAATCCATGGCCTTAATAAACCTTGTCACACAAATTTTGTTTTTCTTTCTGCACACTGGCACGATTGTACATTTTATAAAGCCTGTACATACCAGAATACTGAATGCAATATATTGGGGTTGGTTTACAAGTAACAGATATCTCTTTCTCATATTTGATTGGAGGAGAACTTTCCAAGGGATATTCTTTATTTGTACTTCAAAGAAGAAAAAAGAAAGAGAGGAAAATATTAAGACATCTAACCCCACTACATTTTAATTTCATTTTTGAAATAAGCATGCTTTGGGAGCTATTCTAAATATTGTTACATAAATAATTCCTGGAAAATGTATGTTAAATCCAGTATAAGAGGCAGAATTAATTTTAAATTGTCATATTTAAATTATTCTTATCAACAAATATTATGAATTCATGAGATCAAGCATTAACATGGACTTGTACATAAAATCAAACTTCAGCTGCATACCTATCTAATAAAAGTATTTAAAGAATGCAAACTCTACCTTGTTGTGACAATAAGCAATATGAAAAATATCTCCATATGTAAAAATAAGAATTACATTGGTCATCTATTTAACAAGATACTACCCCCCACACACAAACTTAAAGCGCTAAGTAGCTTAATCTCATCTAAAGGCTTGCCTATGTGTGCAAGGATTACAAAACTTAGCCTTGAGCTATTAAGTTTTTAAGAAACAGTTTTTTAAAAAAGAGAAAAATGATGGCATTAATCATTCTTTACTTTTATGTTTGTATTACATAGAACAAAGAATCTATATTAATACTAAAAGAAAATACGTACATAATATCCCCATTTAACATTGCCACACCAATTAACAAGAAAGTGCCAGCTCTAAAAAAAGTTTGGGTTTTGTGTCCACAGTGATGATGAATCCACTGGTCAAATTGTACCATTTGTATACTCTGTTTAAATCCATTAGAGTAAGCTTGCATTAGCTTAAGATAACATTATTTTAGGGGTAAATGAGGCACATGATCTGAAATCTCAATCTCACTCTGCCACATTCAGTTATTTTTCTGACTAGAATTGCAGCTTAAGAACATGTTGCAGCTATGCCTCCAACCATATTTAGCACCTGTTCTTCTTTCTAGCAACAAAAATCTAAGAAAATAGATGTGTATATTTTCTTTTGTATGCAAAACTTACTCAAATGTAATTGATAGTGTGACAATCTGAATCACTTTCTGCAGTCATTTAATAGCAAATTTACAATGGCTTTTAGTTCCAGTGATAGTCCTAACTAAAAAGTTCCAATGAGAAAAGCAGCTACAAACTGTATTTCCAATAGAAATTTTTTAATTTGTTCCTCCTCTAATGGAGTTGCTAGATTACCTACCGTTTACAACTGGTCTTCCACTTTGATAGCCCATTTTTCTTCAGAATATTTGGAGAAAACATGGTCATTCTACAGGAAAGAACACAGACTCTCCTATATGAAGCATTAGATGTTGCATGAGGGAAATAGTTTATTTCAAATAAAAAAAATCCCACTTCCTTCTTATTACTTATGTCTACTAGTAACATCAGTAAGTAAGATAATGTACACATTGATGACCAGATAACTTTCTAATGATTGAATGCTCAAGTTTGCAACTAAATTTTGCTTTCTGCACGTTCTTTTTTGGATCATGCATTCTGAATGTCAAAATCCATTCATATAAAGTTCTCAGACATTTCTTTCTGCAAGCTGAAGAAACAAGAAGAGTTTAATCATATGGAAGCGACAGGATGCTTAATATAGATTTTGAAAGGAAGTTGAACGCTGACCAGAAACTGAAAATTTGGTTCTACAACATATTTTTTAAATTGTTTGATAAAATCATAGATGTATTTCACGCGTGCTTAATTTCACAGTCATGAGACTACATGGCTCTATTATGTGACAAAATATCACACACCAATGAAACAGACAAAATAGTACTGTATCTACTCACTGTGGTGCTGCTGTATAACCTGATGACTTAATTTTATTATGGAAAACTAATGGCTGATCTTTCACCATGCTTTTCACTCCTATAGCAAAATAATTTAATTTTCATGAAAATGTTTTTTTAACATTGTATTTCTACAGTTAAGGTAGATACATAGTTAAGCTAGCACAGTACAAATATTTGATGTCTCCTTATTTTACAAAACACATTTATGACCAATCACTCTAAAATGATTACTGAGAAAAGGAAAGAAATATGAACTCTCTTCCAATAATATCCATGAATAGGAACTTCTTTAAATTTTGAATTAACAAGAATATTGTTCTGAGGAAATTTTTTCATCATTCATTCACAAATGTGTTTTGCAGTTGCCTATTTTATGCTTAGACTTTATATGCACTAGCTATAATATAGTCACACCTGATATTTGGAAGATGGAATGTATCTAAAGATCATTAACAAACTGGCTGGTGAGTACACATAAATGTTTGGGTTTTCATGTGGCTTAAGCCATTAATAATGTCTGTATTCACACTGCTGTACTGAGAAACCTGAAGGTTAGTCTCCAGCCCAAAACTAAATATTAGCATTTCACATCAGCAGAAACAAGCTAATGAAATAAATGGTGTAAAGGATGAAATCTTGTTGGTGTTCCCAGGGAAAAACTTCAGGGGCATTGGGAGTGATCACATGGGCACATTTACCTATGCTGAAGATAGAAGCTCCTTCAACTCCCATCAGCTATCCTTTCTCTTTATGTAGTGATGAGACAGAAAAGGGTTCTTCCTGGGAAGCTCCCAGTACCACTTGCCATAGGAGGCCATAGGATTTCCTTAGATCACCTAATCTGTCTGAGTGTGAGGTGTCAGCAAGAGTAGTACAGGCATCAGTGCTGGGTGTCCGAAGCAGCCTGGAATTCTAGCTAAATGCATTCTCAGAATATCACACAACACTAAAAATATAACCTTTGACATTCCAAGAGGTCCAACAAGGAAATCCATAGAGTAAAAATAGATTATTTCTACATGTCTACACCCCACGGTATTTTTATATCTTTCCTAAAGAAAACGTGATGATGAAGAAATTATTTTGTAGGCATATTTTGCACTTTGCTTTACTATTGCTAAGCAAAGAAACTACAACTGCTTCAGCAGTAAGCGGAAGTCAGACCTTTTTTGTTTTAAACGGTAGGATGTTGAGGCAAAAATTAACTTCCTAAACTTGCAGGTACTCACAAAAGACTATTCAGGACAATAAAATTAATCAAAACAGGTAACCAAAGTTAAGAAGTGGCAAATTATACAGAAAAATATATGGCATGCTATAGAAAAAGAAATAATTATAAAAAATGTAAACATTCTACACTCTTTAACTCTTTTAAAATTCACTGAAAGTTCCCAGAGGATTCATTTTAAAAGAAGAAAAATACTATGTTACCATCATTTTCACTACAAAAACATATGTAGGCTATGAAATACTACTAGAAGTATAAGATTTTCCTACTAAAATAAAAATATCATGCAATATGTATTTAAAACAGAAATTGATATATTGATTGTATTAAGTACCAGCCAGTTGCAAGTCAGTTACTATTATGAAAAATATAACATAATTATTTCATTTCAAGTTGGTTTACACTTACTAAGTGTTTTAGTAGAAGGTTCTTTCATGGTTTTCTTTAAAACTTTACACAATGGAGAATTTGTCAATAAAGAACACCTAAGTTATAAAACCAAGAACAAAAATCAATCAATACAATGGACAAAAGCATCAAATTAGGAAAAGGTGTCAAAACTTCTTTTTAGCTATTTTGTATCACACATATATACACACATGCAGACAGTGAGATTTCCATAAATACACATCAGGCATAGTGGATTGGTTATCAGCCCAGATACCCAGCAGCACAGACAAGCCTTGTACCTGAGAAGATTCACAGACTATTGCATTTACATGATAAATCCCATTTCCGTGAAAATTAACATTACTGTATCATCTTCAGTGTATATTGTAGGGGGGGGGTTATCAGTGTTTTCCTGGAAATCATTTACAGGCACATAAAGGACAAGAAAACAGTAGTCAGCATGGATTCACCAAGGGCAAGTCATGCTTGATCCACGTGCTAAACTTCTATGATAAAATGACTGACTTGGTAGATAACAGGGAGAGAAGTGGATATTGTCTACTGTGACTTCAGTAAGGCTTTTGACACTGTCTCCCATAAGATCCTCATGTAGAAGCTGATGAAGTATGGGCTGGATAAGCACACAGTGAGCTGGACTGAAAACCAGCTGAACAGCCAGGCCCAGACAGTGATGATCAGTGGCACATGATCTACCTGGAGGACAGTAACTAGTGGAGTACCCCAGGCATCAATACTGGGTCCAGTTCCATTCAACATCTGCATTAATAACCTGGATGAAGGAGCAGAGTGTACCTTCACCATGTTTGCTGATGACACAAAGCTGAGAGGGAGTGTCTGATACACCAGAAGGTTGTGCTGCCATCCAGACATCCACAGGCTGAAGAAATGGGCTGACAGCAACCTCATGAAGTTCAACAAAGGGAAGGGCAAAGTCCTGCACCTGGGAAGGAACAACCCTATGCACCAGTATATGGCTGTAAGGAATACAGAGCCAGGCTCTGTGCCCGGTTCCCAGTGACAGGATAAGAGGCAATGGGCAAAAATTGAAATACAGGAGGTTCTGTCTGAACACCAGGAAACACTTTTTTAGTGTGAGGGTAACTGAGCACTGGCACAGGTTGCCCAGCAAGGTTGTGGTGTCTCCCTCCTTGGAGATATTCAAAAGCCATTTGAACATAGTGCTGGGCAACTGGCACTATATGGCCCTGCCTGCACAGGGCAGTTGGACAAGATGACCTGCAGAGGCATCTTACAACCTCAGCCATTCTGTGATTACATGATTTCTCCCACTCAGTACAACTAAAGCATGTCAGGAAAACAAGAAATATAAAACCATGTCAAAAAATAGCACTGTATAAAACCATCTGTACTTCAGCAACAGGGAAACAAATGCATAATCCACCTCAGAGGAAAAAAACATTTAAAGTTATTCTGTACCTGGCAACAACTGATAGACTATTCTTGTTTCGACACAGAAAATCACTCTGCTGAGTTCTCATCAGTGCAGCAATGTTAACTTCCAACACAGCAATCATATCTTCAAACATTGAGGCAATCAAGCATAAAACCTGCAGCAATTATACCATAAAATAGTAATCCATTTACTTCATAATTTAAGCTCCAGCACTGAAGCATTTATAATGGAAAATGAAATAACTTTGTGTCATTTATGAAAATTAGTCAAAAATATCCATGAGTTTAGTCTTGTAAAGCATTAAAGTGGTTGATGCTGTCCTTCAAAAAGATGCTTATGTTGCTTAAATATGTGTCTTAACGGACATGCATACCTAATAGCCACAGAAATTCCAATACCTTCTACGATAGATATTTCTGCAGTAAGAGTTGTGAGAAAAGAAACACACATGGAAGAAAGATTGATTTCAGAGACATGCTTATGAACTGAATTTAGAACAAAATCCTTCTTTAAAACAAACACTGCTATATTAAATATGTAGAAAGCCCAAGATTGAGCTCAGTTCTGTAGGAAAACTGTAATATCAAAGATGGAGTATACGAACAAGATTGCCTTTCATTTCCTTAAAAGCACTTTTAGTGACTTTCCACAGACATTTTCTCACAACTCAAATAGTTTTCACAGATTTCTTGGAAGGATTCAGAAGCAGTTCATCTTAACATTTGTTTAAGAAACAAGGTGTAACAATGTTCATATCTTTTTTTCCCTTAAAAGAATCTTTCTGTTCCCCTAATGGTCATTCCTGACATTCAAGGTACACACTGAACACTATAAAAAACAATTCATCTTTTGCTTATTAATCACTTTGAACAGTATACAAACTGTGAGAGCTTTAAAACTACCCAGCTATTTAAACTAGTAGATTCCATAAAGAAGAATCAACCCTCTCCAGAGAAACTACTGTGTAATTCACAGCAAGCAAAACAAATGTGTATAATAATCTGTAAATAAAATGCATAACTAATATTTACTGAAAATAACTGGAAATGTAACCATTCATTAAATCAATGTTTACTGCATACCCACCTTTCCATTAACTGCCTTCCTTGCTAATGCACACAATCCGGCAAAACGAATGCTGAGGTCACTGTAATCTTTACCAAAAAGAACATAGTGCTATAAAATTGCATTTGCATTGCAAGAGAAAAAACTATCGCTGAGACAGGAAAAAAAAAAAATTACTTGTACTAATTTGACACCACCATAACCCACTGTCTTCAGTGTATAACTTTCTAGCTTACCCCCACATAGCAAAGTAGGGCTAGAATAACTTTCCTTGTATTTAACACTCATAAACTGCAAAATCGAATAAAAATTCATTGCTAGCCACTCCACTATAGAAATCTAGTGCCACCACATCTTCTGATATGTCATCAATACAAGAAAAACATACAAAACTGAATTAGAAAAGACTTTTAAAAAACCTACTTAGTTTCTACTGTAGTCTGTAATTTCACAAACTAATTCTTATACTATTTATATCAGATAACAAAGGAAAGAATCACATTATGGTGTAGTCAGATATTTTATAATCATACCTCCGAAAGATAAAAAAGCTTCTAATTCAAAGTTTGCCAAATTAATTATTAAAAAGCCAGTAGAGCTTCCTATCCAAAAATAGCTAGTATTCAGGGCAGAAGATCTATTAAAAAAAAGGAGAAAAAATTATCTGAGTATGATAAAGAAGTTTTTCTTACTACCATACAAGACAAAACAATTGTTTTTTAATACTTGTTACCCATTCCCAGTATAACAACAATAATAAACCAGACAAAAAAAATTTAAATTTACAGCATTTTTTAAATCTGTAGCTCAAAGTAAAAAGTTTCAATCAAAATTGGTGAAGTTTTGAAAACTAAGAACAGAACACAATCCTTGATTTTATCTAAGTGCTCATGGCAAGTCTAAAACAGCATAGGAAATACTTTTCTTCAAAAATTACTGTGATTTATAACAGTTGGGAGATGCTCTAAAAGGACTGTATCCACAAAGAATAAATTCAAAGAGGCAAATCCACATATATTCTTACTTTTACCACCTGTAATATGAGCACAAAAAAGCAGTGAAATTTTAAGGTGTGTTTGTACATAGTTAAAGGACAAGAGAAAAAACAGTACAAGCTAAGGGCGGGGAGGGGGAAACCACCAGGCAAGCCTGGAATATCTGTCTCAGTCTGTGCTTAGTGGCAGTAGCATTGCACTTTTAGGTAATGAAATCCAGCCTTTGCAACACTACAGACCAGAACAACTGGTTACAATTTCAGTCAACACCCTCACAGAAGAAAAATGTTATCAAGCATAACTAAAAATGTTTTGATGCCACCATAAATAAAAATTGACATCAACATTTTAATAGATTTTCCAAATAAGAGTGAGTAGACATTGGTTTGATTTGTAAAGTCAGACCAGAAGACTTGAAGTAAGGGTATGGAAAAATATAAAGCAAAAAAACTTGGCAAAAAAAAGGTCACCACAGTGGTTTAATACTTCTTTATAAAGAAAACAAACAAAAAAACCACCCCAAAACAGTCAAATACTTTAAAAAGCAGACTGGGAAAGACAGTTTCAGTTCTGGTTTGTGATACTTTTGTGTGCTCTGCATTTCATTGCATGCAGGAAAAGTGGTAAATCAGGGATTGATCTGTTGTTCAGACAAATCTGAACCACCTGCTAAAACTAACACATGGTAATTTAAAAATTAAACAGAAAAATACTTACAAGTACAAAACTCTAAAAACAAAAGATAGTGGAACTGGATTAATAGTAAGAATTTAATGGTCATGGCTGTTTATAAGCAGAAAAAAACCCTCTAACTGCGATAGCTGAAAGGGTAAATAGTCCTTAGATGTGCAATATCAGGTGGGTATTGGAAAGTGATGTTAATTCAGAAAATTATTTCAATTAACCTATTACTGTGGATCCCTTTCAGGCAACCATGTCCAAACAGGGCATTGGAAAAGAAATGAGATTGAATATCAGAAAAAGTCCAAAAGCATATTACAGAAAACATGCCTTATACATGGTGCAAACTATTCTATCCAGAAGAGTAGAGATAACTTGTTCATGAACTATAATTTACTATGCAAGGAGGGAACTTGATAGTAGCTGGTTCTAGACTATCAGAATAAAAAAAACATACTAAAAGCCAATAACTGTACATGAAAAGAGGGTAATTCAGATTAGAAGTAAAATGGAATGAGTCAGCTGCTGGAAAAACTAGGGACACGGTGGATTCTTCATCACTGGAAAACTAGCCATCTTTAAAGATGTGCTGTAGTTCAAATCAAACCTATAGTTTTGATGAAGACAAAGTTTTGATGATTTGAGAGTGGTATTATGCAAGCAATAAGACTAACTGACTGTAGTAATTAATCTTCTGACAGTCCATTAAAGTATGTCTGAGATGTAAATCTTAAAAATTACCACCTCCTTCCTCTTAATGGTAGTCCTGAAAATGTAGGCATTGTGAAAATAACTTTTAATAATTATTTCAGTTCAACATAAAGACAAAGAAAATGATCCAGGACTGCTGGATATTTTTCTTCTCTGTTTATAAAAAAATTGTTTATATATCTAACCAGAGGATTAACCAGTTATACCTATACAACTCACTACAGGGCAAAGGGTAGAACAAGAGTTTCCTAAAACATGATGTGGCTGAGAAATTTATCCAAATGACAATTACAAATAACAACAAAACCAGGTTGTTTTATAAGACAGTTCTTATGACAGTATCCTGAACAGACCCCCAGGTGCCTGATAATAGGGTTAAACTTCTCTTCAGGAAAGAAATGCAATATAAGGATTAATTTAGGTCTCTCTCCTCTACCTGGACAGCCAATTCCATGGGAAGGTATAAAAACATCATGCTTTGAAATGTCTCACTCTCTGACAGAAGTTGGGCTAGAACAGGTTATGTAGGTCAAAGGTTATTTAAATTTGGAAGGCAAACTGACACAGGCACACAGTGACTGCATCAGACTTATTTCCTTAGGAATACAAACTAAAAATAAATTTGGTTTTTAATTGTAATTGGCTTCTTAATTATTTTTTTAGCGGATCTTCCCTGATCAACTGGTGTCAATAGGTGTTAAAATTGATACTCCCAATGACATCTTAATAAAATTATTTTTCACACTAGAAATCAGGTTTAACTTTGTATCAGTTTGCATATATTATCTGCCTAACAGTAGACTGCAAAAACTTGCGGATAACTAAATACATTCTCTGATTTTCATATTGCATTTTTAAGAAAATAGTAAGTTGCAGTGGAAATAATCCAAGAACCAATAGGATTTCCTAGGAATAGATTCCAGACAAACACTTGGTGGTACTTTAAAGGACTTACATGTTTTCTTCTTTATGGAAACGTACTAAAAAGTCACAGTGTTCAATTAAGAGGATAGGCAATGATGTTTCCACTGATCCTTCTGGTCTCATGTTCTTTGTTTTGCAAAGCTTGGAAGTATTTTGCCCTTCACCTAAGAAAGACGATCAACAATACTAGCTATCAAAAAACACCAAAATAAGGGAAACAGACAGGATTTAAGAGAGAATTAGAAGTAGTAAAGTAGCATGAACTGAGACCACACTCAAGAAGTTTCTATTTTAAAAGATGGATCTATTCTAAGAGCCAGCCCTCTTTAAATACCTTTACTCATTCTTATGTTATCTTTAGTACTGTCTTCTTTCAAATACCTAGAGATAAAAATCCAGAGAGCATACTTAAGGACTGAAAAGTATTTGGGGGAATTTAGGTGCATTCATCTCAAAAAGTGACTCTGAAAGCCGTATTCCATCAACCCTTAAACATGCTGGGCACTTTTCCACTTAGCCTGAAAATTCCCTTGACACTGAAGTTACAACATAATACAAAAACAAGATGGAAAGCCACCTCAGTTTCATCTTCCCAAGGAGTCTCCAATCTGTTATGCAGGCACAGTTCACACCTAGGAACTACTATCACAAAATTCACCACTAGGCATAGACACTGCATCACTCTCTTTCAAACATCCAAAGGTGAAAGTGACATCCATATATTTTCAATAATAACAAGAAATGTAGGAGTCTTTCTCATTAGGTTAGGACCTCAGGATTATTGAGGCTGTACCACTAGGCAGCTAAGAATACAACAGCCACCGAAGTCAGAAAACGAGCAAACAAGGGAAACCAGATCTCCCTTTCCCTAAAGAAAGCTCCCTCTTGCTTCCTTTTAGGAGGACCTCAGCTCACTTCAGCCAGTGTGCAGGTAGCTGAATGCCTCATTTGGGAACGTGGGATCACCTTGCTGAGGTTACCAGTGCAGCCTTTAAAGACTAATAAGTACTCTGTGTTATACCATTGGAAATACCACAGCCAGAGAAATACCATATCATGGAGGGACTGCTATGGATTAAAAAAGAAAAGAAAAGAAAAAAAATTCCTGGAAGCTTCAAAGGTAACTGAGAAATGTAACTCCACTTAGACAATGGATGAATTTTTAGGCACTGATTTTGTTCTCACTGAAGCCTTGGGCAATGAATTCAATAAAAAACATAGTTCACAACATGCAATGTTTTATAAGCAGATACATTGGCCAAGAGTTTATTACAGACATACATGCATAATTCTTTCCAGATATGTCAAATAATTCTTTTCAGAAATGCCAATAACGAACTTCCATATCAACTTCAGTAAGAATTCCATGCCACAGTCTGAGACTCATAACTCTATCACTTACAATAAATTCTCGTGGTATAAAAAGCGCACACTCAGTAGCCAATAACAACTAGAATATGCCATAAACAGCATTCTAGAAGCACTGTGCTACCTGTTTCTTTTCCAGATTTCCAGACTTTATTATAGAATTTCTCCTGCTCTTTCTTTAAGTTGATATGTGCCACGCAACGGTAATTATGATCACTGATTAAACTGAAGATCCAAAGCTGGAAAAAAAAAGAAAAAGCAATTGCAATAACCTTTTGACACTAAACATGAAGCTTACATGAATACAAACTAAAGGGCCAATACTTAAAATGGTTGATGTAACTAATGAATTTTTGTATCTGGAATCTTACCTTGGACCAGAAATTCAGTTATATGCATTTCTAAGATTATCAAAGGATATATTCAATATTAGCAAAAGCAGCCATTATCAATTTGAACTGCACATCTAATTCCCACACATATATGTCTGAAAAAAACTCCCCATAGACTATTTCCCCCGAATTAAAAATCACAGGTAATCTACATGTAATTGCTCGCTGAGTCATGTACATGAATTTCATTTATACCTTTCTCTTTTTAGGCACCACTATAGATAATTCTTTAAATTTCTTCACAATTCACTGAATGGTAACATTAAAGGAAAACAGCTGGAAAAATCTCATGTAAATATATTCTTAACATTAAATTGAAGAGGAGGTGAAATGCATATTCACATTTACCATATTTCGATTAGAATTCCAACATGCTGAAATCATAGTTTCTTCCATTTATTGTCACGTGTTTCATTCCTTGGCCAAAATATGACAATCTTATTTTTCACCTTTTTTCTTTTAAAACAGATATATTTATAGCCTTTCAGTGTACTCCACTTACATAATCACTGATTACGCTCTTAAAAACTTTCTGGGTTTTCAGGAAAAAGTTTTGTAACAGAGGTGTCATATATCATATGTGGCTTATGCTCAAAGCACTAAGTTATGCTTACCAAAATAGCTGTTGTAACAGTTCAAAACACGTATGCAGATTGTGAAGCTTTCTTATAGACAGATACATTAATAATAGTTGACTGTTTTGACATAGAGACTAAGCTTAATGGGTAATTCTTACCTGTCCCTCAGCAGATCCAGTGATAATCTGTTTATTTTCTTCATCAATTAGCAAACTTAGCAAAGGAAATGCTGCTTCAAAAAAGATAAAATCATTCCCAGAGTAGACACAAATCAGATATTTAATTAAAATACGTGATTCAAAATTGAATCCTCCTATTCACAAAGGTGAAAAAAAAAACCCTTACTGCAGTTCTTAGGCTTGCACAGTGCTTTATGAGGTGTAGCCTTTGTGTTGCTAAGGGCTTCCGATTTGCAGGTCTGTGGCCTGCCTTTCACCCAAGCTGCCATGGCAGGGGTTTTCTGCAGCCTTTCACCCAAGCTGCCATGGCAGGGGTTTTCAGAGCCCCTGTGGCAGTAGTTTTCCCTTGTTGTTCCTGTGCTATTATTCTCATGGCCTTGCACCTGCAAACCCTGATATTGCAATTAGGGCAGGTTTTCAAGGGAAGCAATTGCCACAGGCAGCCAGCAGGGAATAACCTGTTCTTCCTCTCCTTTCCTGCCATGTGGTTTTGGCTTTTAGTCATCATGAAATTATCCAATAATATGAATGCACAAAGTTTAACAACCAATCTCCATGCATCTCATGCCCCCAAAGTGTGCTTCAATCACCACTAACACTGTCACCACAAGTGGGAGCAACCAACAGGGAGCTTGAGAAGGTCCTGTTGAAAAATACATGGTTCCTGTAGGAAAAGTGCTATTGGAGCAAGGGTTCCGTGCTGCAATGGAGACAATGCTTGCCCTCTTCCTCTTCTCTCCTTTTGCTCTCATCTTTCCACAAAAGTAGCTTTCACCTCTAAAGTTAATATATGTCATCAGCTACAGACACTGGTAATAAATCTACATATGGTCTACTTAAAGTAGTTCCTTCCATGTCATACACAAAACTTGAAAGAAAACAAGCACATAGTACTCAGACAGTGGAACTATATTTACACAAAAAAAAAAAAAAGAAAGAGCTTTTTTGCATATCTCTGTAAATGGCAACAGCTACATGCACACCCTGTACAAAAAGAGCTGTTTATGAAAGTACACTAAAACTATCTACCCAGAAGTACACTTTAAAGGGAAATATATTTACTACTGGCTTTAAAGGAGAATAAGTTTACTACTACCTAATCTACTAGAACTGTTTTCACTAAATCAACTAAGTACTTCTATAATAATAGAAGTATAGAATAGAATATATAGAATATATAATAATATATTATTTTTTAGAGAGAGAGGACTTTTTTGTTGTGAAAAAGCATATATAAAAAAGAAAACTTACCTGTTAATACTCCTGACTGATAAATTAACTGGCCGGAAGAATAGTCCCACACCTTTAGGAAAAAAAAAAAAAAGTAAAGATAGGCACCTACTTAGATCTTTAAGGAAAACACAAACTTCAACGGCCATCGTGTGGTGAAAACAGAGAAATGCAGCCATTGAAAATGATGCAATATGGTAGATTCTTTTCAGCACTTTTTTCCAACTACCTAGGGCTTTGTTTAATTGATACTAAATTATTGAAAATACTTGCAAAATATTTTCATTCGATTGTCATTTTAGCCCCAACATTTATCAAAGTTAAAAAAAACCCGGAACAACTAATTCATTAGCATTTTTTATAATTTATCCAATCTTCATTAAATTAATATGAAGAATATAGATCTTTTCCTTCAATCATTTTTACCTTGATTTAATTTATTAGATTAACATAAACTAAATAAGAAACAATCAATCAGAAAGTCAGGATTACTAATATTTCCTAAAATTCCAATTCAATCTTTGAATTTTTTTGTCCAAGACCAGGACAAAAATCAAAATCACATTTTCTCCAGAACAAAGAGTTACATAAAAATTAAATTAAAAAAAAAATCAATCTTTGATATAGCAAACTTTAATTTTTGTAGAACCAAATGTTTGGCTATGTTTAGAATCATATAGAGAACAATCAGTAGTAGACTAAGCTGCATCTAATCAAGGTACCCACCCCAGTATCTCCTGGAAGATACACCTGGGTTCACTCAGGCTCCTCGTTCCCCCTTCCTGTCTAAAATGTCTTCAATTGTCATCATGTACAGCAGCAGCAATCCATAGTGTCATCATATAAAAAGTTGTCTTGCAAAAAATCTTACCAGTATGCAGTAACCCAGCCATTGCATGCAATAACCCAAAATAATATTCCCGAAAAGGAAAATTCCAGTCAACGTCAACAGACTCAAAATGAAATGCTTTCATTCAGTTCAGCATACTGAAACACTTCAGTTACAGCCAAACTGATAAAAATATTTTATTTCCATTGGCCAGATTATAATAATCACCAAAGTTAACACTTCACTCTAGAAAGTTTTGAATATATAAAACCTGCATTGTTATTTTTAAAACGAGTAATTAATTTTTACAGTAATTTCCCAAGCAACTCTAAAAACAATGTCCTGATCTCTATAAAGTCAAACATGCTTTTTGCTTAATCTTCAGGAAATAATTGAAGTTTACATATTCACTAAATTATGGTTTTTTAAAGTGCAGCTCTACAATTTCCTTGCCTTAAAGGTTCTGTCTTCTGACACTGATATAAGCATACTTTTCTCCCATGTGCAAAACTCAGCAGCAGTCACTGGAGCCAGGTGGCCATCCAATTCAGCTAGTATAGCTTCATCCTGTGATTAGTCAAGTCAAAATAAAAACAGATTAGGTTTCAAACTAAAAATGACAATCAGTTAAATGTTTTAATAATTAATAACTGTTGGTAAAAATTGTCAGATTTTAATTCAAAATATTATTCCAATAAGATTTTTCGTATTGAAACTGCAGCTCTGTATATCATCCTGCTGGCAAAACCACTACACATTTAATTCTTCAGAATGAATGATATGGGAGTAATTTTTCAGATGTCCTCAGAATGTTTTCTTCTTCTAAGTTATTGAGATAGTTTCACTTCAACTTTTTTAATCTAGTCTTCTATCCGGTATATGATGCATTATCAAGCATTATTTCATACTTATTTTTACCATACAATAAAAATTAATGCTTTTTCTTCATTATTCTGACTTTTACGTATCATGGTTTTATTTGAAAGCAAATAAAGAAATATCAGCACCATGGCTACAAAGAATGGTATCTCACCTTTGCACTTAACATGTAGATCCGATTTCCAGCACATACTGCCACTTGTCGATCATCTGGACTAAATCTTACATGAAGCACCATTCCCAAAAGAGTTCCTATAACAATTCCTTGAGGTGTTAGCCCTGCAGTAATTTTATTGTTAGTGAGAGTCAGTGAAACATAAAACTCTGGTGCAGTGAGATTCTTAAAAGCTTTGCACAGCAGTTATCTAACCACAGAGCTATCCTGGTTTCTATCAGGAAGATGTACAGAACAACCCATAGTTTAATTATACCAGGCTCTTGGAAAGCAAAACACAGAACTATGCACCAGAAGGATTCTTCCATCTGCCTTGTTGCCTAGACATGATCTGATACTCTTTGAGATACTAATAGTGAGTGTGCCCATCAAATCATACTTCCACTGAAGACTGCCAGGGGCGGGATTTTTGGAGTAGGGTGATGTGCCATGTTCATTTTGGGGGCAAGAAATCCTGACTGAAGCCCAGCAAAACAGGGGTTTGAAAAATGCTTCTTCCAGGAGAATATCCCAGCCACTCAGCCATCAGGCAAAGGGGATTTCCCTTCTCTTGGTTTTAATTATTCTGTGGGAAAGGCCTGAAAGAGGAAGTACAC